AACAAAAAAAAACTTAGAGAATAAATTGATAATTATGGTATAGTTTAGGGGGCAAGCCACATTTTTAGCCATGATTTTATTAGATACTTAACCTTCATTATAAGTCTATTAAGCTTTATTAGCAATAAACCAAATATAGTTTTTTTTTTTTTTTTTTTTTTTTTTTTTTTTTTTTTTAATTATATAATAGAAAAGATTGTATTTTATTAAACCGAAAGGAATATTACATGGTAAGTATTAGCATGTTAACGGCGGTCTTGTTAAAACCTTCCCAGAGAAAACAAAACCCATGTTATTGACTAAACAGAAAAGTCAAACAACTTATACGAAACAGACAAACCTAAAACCCACCCACAAAACCCTTAAAACAACATACCATCACTATATAGGTACTATCAAAGAAGTCCTGCTATGATCTAGAGAAAGCATCATAGTTCTTCATACATAGTCAAAAACGTACTATGTGTATTAGAATAGATCCAGTCAATCACCCAACCACAAAACCATTGAAACACATCATATCACTACGCATGTACTGTAAAAATAAAAAATAAAAAAGCATCCTATGATCTAAAGAAAACATCATAGTTCTTCGTGCAGAGCCAAAAACGCATTATGAGCATCATAACAGATCCAATCAAACCCCCAACCACCACCTCCAATTTTCTTAATCCAGAACCCCAATTGACAAGCAAGGTAGACCAAGATTGGCCTCTTAGCCAGAAGAAATTTCCAAAGAAAGATCTTCATAGTAGGAACGTTCATCGGTTACCAAGCCCATGAACATTCCATAGGAGAAATATTTGGGAAACCTTGGAGACCCCTCGATGCTGGTCTCCTTTGCCTTGTCAACAAAATCCTCGATACAAAAACTACGCTTACTAGAAAAAGTCATGTCACTAACAATCAGATGCCTAACACCAGTTTCCACACACTTCTGATTCCCCTATACTTGTCCTCCCATTGAGCAGAAAAGACAGTGGTCACCTCCATAGCGTTAAGATGTAGACCCCTCATCAATGACTGCCTCCTTGGGAACCTATAAAGGAAGCCGGTGCAGCTACCACACGGAGAACAAAAGAGGCAAAAAAGTCGTACCCAATAACCAAGAAGAACCTAGAGAGACAATCAGATAAAACTGAGAGAGTTGGCGCGGAGAATGAGTAAAGAAAATTGGAGAAATCCTAACCCTAGCCGTCAAGGCTCTTCTCACGTAAACGAGAGAGAGACCCCTTTCTAAAATGTTTTAATATGAAACTAGTTCTTAACAAAGATGACAAATGAGTGAGTCACTATTTCATCATTCAAGTTACAAACTCCATTGCTGCCATTGAATTTAGAATTTTGGTGCACAAACTTTCACATAAAAAATTGATTATGAATGAAACTATTGCTCTCATGCTGACCTTTGTATGAAACTATTGGATTATGAATGAAATTTCTTTTCCTCTAAAAAAATAAAAAATTAATTAAAGGTTTGTCTAATATTTTCAAGAGTGATTTATTGATAAAAACTTGAAAAATAGACAGCGTAAACAACAAATATATCTCTCGATTTGAATGAACGTATTTGAGAAATAAATAAAAATGGTGCTAAAATGCGATTTTGGTGAATATAAAAAGGTTAATAACGTTGAGAGATTCAATGAGTGAATTTATTAGATACTTAACCTTCATTATAAGTCTTTTAAGCTTTATTAGAGGAAAGTGAAACTAGCTCTTATCTTAACAAATGATGACAAATGATTGATTTCATTAATTTCATCATCAAACAATTAACAAACTCAATTGCAAACCATTGAATCTAGAATTTTGGGGCAGACTTTCGCATATAAATTTAAGGTCTTTCCTTCCAAATTTGAAAATGATTGATTTTCTTCTTTATTTTTTTTTTTTTTTTTTTTTTTTTTTTTTTTTTTTTTTAAGGCATGCCAACTTGGTATGACCTGTACTGTATGTAACCTTGAACAAATTAATTGACAGATAGGAGTCCGAGTTGGTAGGTAGGTAGGTTACTTCTGTAATTTCAGTGATTTCGCTAGTTTGGGTCAGCATGCAGCGTCTTATACGTCATCATCCTTTTTGTCCCCATTATTTTTGAAAAGTCATATTCCATCAACTTCCTTTGTCTTTTTTTGGCCATTAACTTCCTTTTCCATATAATACTTAAATAAGGTAAAAATTAATCGAAAATGCACGTTAGATTAGTTGATCAGAGCACTAAACTCGCTTTCTTTATATTTAAATTTGTGTCTACAAAGTATATATCATCGGTTCAATTTAAATTTTTTTCATATGTTAACAACGTCGGTCACTTGGTCATATTATTTAATAATCAAAATTAGTTCATAAAAAGTACTAATAATTAAAATTAGAATACAAGCTTCTTCTGTTTTCTTCTTCTTTGTTTTTTTTTCTTAGTCTCTTGCATGATAGAAATCAACCTCTAATGCTTGAGCTCACCCCACATATCACTTCACCTCACATATTAACATTTTCCCTTTGTCTTGTCCTCTTGTATATTCCCTCCAATAAGCCCAAACTAATTACAAAAGTCAATAAATAAGTGGAATACTAATTAAAATCCTTAAGAAAATGACATCCTTCTAGAGCCTTTGCTTGAAACGATCATGATGATGAGCATGACACCACTCTAGCATCATTATTCTTTTCTTTTTTTCTAGTGATAACAAGGAAAATAAAATGAAAAAACAAACACAAAAATAGAAAGCAAATTTTCTTGAGCCCAATATCCCCAAAGGATCACTAGTTTGAATTTTTTTCAAAAAAAATTCAGATAGAAACGGCACCGTTTATCCGTGTCAGCAAATTAATCAAAACAATCAGCCACCATGAGATTAAAAAATACTGAAAACTAGTCCGATATTCAACTATAAAATGGGCTCTGGCTCTTCCGCTAGTGTTGCAATCAAAATCTTCAACGTTCCCTACACTTAGCTCACAAACCACAGCAAATAGTAAAATCACCGACTCCGGAGGACTGCATTTATGGCTACCAAAGTGTATATTGTGTACGTACCAATTCTTTGCTTCTACTTTTGTTTTCAATTCTAATTTACTATGAACTGCGAATGTGTTCTTCTATGATCGGGCCTTTTTGTTTTGATTTTTTCTTACTTGGGTAATGATCATTTTCAGTCTGTTAGAGCTTCAAGCTATTAAAAATTTAAGTTAGTTGCTGCTTTATCTGAATATGGTTGGTCGAAATTTTGAAGTAGAAGGAAATAAATTGATTTATCTTTGTTGGATCTTTGTGTTTTGCACTTTTTATTGAATTGGGTATTTCTTGATAGTTAACAAAGGTTTAAAGCTTGAATCTTTATATTTTTGTTTCTGAAAATTATATTTTTAGGAAGATTTTTGTGATGGTGAGGCAGAGGCTGTGGCTTTCTGTGTTTATAATTGGGAAATTTATGCATCTCTGATAATTTTCTGTGTTTAGATTATTTCTTTATGTGAATTACACTCTTGCATCGCATATAAGTGAGATATAACAGAATGACTGTTGGTTTTCTTCCATTGATCCATGTAGAAGAGGGTTGGATGACCCCCAAGATCTGATTTTGTGCTGTAGAAAACTATGATGATTGTGTTTTGCTTATGGCCATGGTGTGGTTTTATAACGATGTTGAGCATATTAATGGAGAAAAAAATTTGTTTAACGTGTTCATCCTGTTGTGGAATTTGTGAGTCTGGAAACCACTTGGGCTAGGAATTGAAAGGTAGGAAAATTCAATCAAGTAAAAGCAAACGGTGAATAGGAGAGGGGATTGGAGGGAAAGGCAGAGTTGATTGGCATTTCTTTGAAAGTCACTACAGTCAGTGTTGATTGAAATTTTAGTAAGAAGAGAAGTAAAGTCACTTCAGTTGGTGTCATTTCCATGATTGTACAAAACTGCTTTAATCTGTTTTGATGGTTATGTACGGAGTGCAGTGATAGGTGTAGTACAGAATTCCTAATGGAACTTATGAAGCTACTTTCTCACATTTTGTGGTGTGCTTGATTGACTGCATCATTCTCTTCCCGAATGATTTCTGGACTCAATTCATGTTTCTTTACACATTTAGTTTCTTTTGTCTTAGTAGAACCTCAATATATACTTGCAATTATTTTATACTTGGGTAATTCTTCCTATGCCCCATTTAATGTCTCAAAAATTAAAAAAGAAAATGGCATTGCAAGTTTGTTTGGAAATAGGTTGTTAGTAAGAGTACATACAGCTATTCTCAACATTTTCTATTAAATGGAAAGTTCCTGCATTAATGCTTACAGCTTCTTATGTAGTTAAAGGCACATGTCAATCCACATCCTTCTTGATTGTGTGGGGGCTTCTATGGTTGATTTAAAAACCTTATGAGTTTTTGTTTTGTTGCGACATGAACTTTGTCACATGCCTGTGGGTTGGCACATAGTGTGTCCAAGATAGTTGATCTTGATTCTGGAGGTAGTTGTATCATAATTTAGTAACTAGTGGGGCATGTAATGGTTTTAGACTACTGTTGGAGTTGGTTGAATAGTTTTACGGCGAACTTAGAATTTCCTCATTACAGAAGATCAAGCTTCATATCTGAATATGGATGGATATGAATGCATATTAAGATTCTCAAAATTCTGACAATATATCTGAAAATTTGGAAGAATTTCTGTTTAGTGAAATAATGAAATAATTGGCTATGGAAACGCTGACAGAATCCAGCAGTTCAATTAGAGGTTGCTTTTGTGAAAAATATTATTCCCAGTAATTTGTAAAGAAGGATGGTGAGTTGGGGACTGAATGTAAGTCGGTCACAGTTGCACATTCATGCATTGATATGTTTTCACTTGATCTCTCTCTTTTCTTAACCCATAGAAAGAATTTTTAAAAAGAAAAACAGTAAGCTTTACATTCAATTGATTCTCAAGGATGCTGTTATATTTCTTCTACATAAAAACAACCCTCTTTATCAAAATCATTTATTGATTTTACAGGTACTACTCCATGTACGGACATGTAGGGAGACTAGCAGAAGAAATTAAAAAAGGAGCTTCATCTGTTGAAGGTGTAGAAGCCACCCTATGGCAGGTGAGTGTGCATTTTCTTTGATCCATGTATTGCGATCTGTAACATTTCATGAAATTTCAGCCTGTGTTTAATTTGAGCTTGAGCTTTAAACGTGAGAATGTTTATTTTGAGCAACAAGCCATTGTAGAAAAACATCAAACTTATCTTTTTGCATAAAGGAGTATAAACACAAGATGATTGAAAACGTTAAACCTAGCCCTATTACTAAGGTTTCAAGGTTGTCACCTTGCTTGATGGTTAGTCAGCGCTCAATAGTCATGACAATTATTTCCCAAGGCATGCCTCAACATTTGAGGCCTAGTTTTGAACTTTAAAGCGGACCATCATTTAAATCCCCCATTGAACATCAGTGCTAGAGATTTCATATGCTCACTTAGAATTGTCAGATCAGTGTCCTTCTGTTCTGTTAAAAGTCAAATGCTTCTCCTTGACTGATTGTCCGAGTATCAGGGTTGCTTGTCTATATTTGATGAACTTGTATATTGTTCACCATCATATGCTTTGTATTTTTCTTACTTACTCTCTCTCTATCTTCGTTCTGCCTCAATAACATCGTGCCAGGTATGCTAATTATTATATTATAGCTTCAAGATTGGCAATACTTGTGTGTACTGTGTAGTCTTCTCTAGTTTTATTTTTAATTTTGTTTGTGCCTCTGAGAAATCATGATTTTAGTTTGCTCATTTGTTTGCATAGATATGAAGATCCTGGTTCTTAGTACGGGAGAGTTTTCCTTTTTTTTGGGGGGGTTCAATTAGAGCTGATTCTCTTCTATTTCATGATTAACTGATCTTCTAAATCTGGTGAACTTGAATGCACAATAAGACTGAGTAAAATGGACTTATGAAACAGGTCCCTGAGACACTGTCAGAGGACGTGCTTGGGAAAATGAGTGCACCACCAAAGAGTGATGTAGCAATTATCTCGCCCAATGAACTTGCTGATGCAGATGGATTCATTTTTGGCTTTCCAACAAGATTTGGTATGATGGCTGCTCAATTTAAAGCATTTTTGGACGCAACTGGCGGTCTATGGAGAACACAACAGCTTGCTGGCAAACCTGCTGGGATCTTTTACAGCACTGGATCTCAAGGTGGTGGACAAGAGACCACTGCGTAAGTTTTGATGTCACATCTAATCAACTAAAAGAACTTTAAAAAAAATGTGTCTGTATCTTAGTTGGAGATAGTAATGATATTGTGACTTTTATAGATTGACCGCCATCACTCAGCTGGTTCATCATGGAATGATCTTTGTACCCATTGGATACACATTTGGAGCTGGCATGTTTGAAATGGAGAATATCAAAGGTGGAAGCCCTTATGGTGCCGGAACTTTTGCTGGGGATGGATCAAGACAGCCAACTCAGCTTGAGCTGGAGCAAGCATTCCACCAAGGGAAGTATATTGCCACCATCACAAAGAAGCTCAAGGGAGCTGCTTAATACTTCGTGCACAAAGATACTCAAATGGAAAGCCTGATCAATTCTTTCTCCCTACAATTTCAGTTTCCATTTCTATTTGTCTGCAAGTATAATTCTTGCTTTATCTGTTATATGTTTTCTATGTGTTTTTATGCAATACAATTATTATTCACAATGAATAACTTTAGTTTGCTCATGATACTAGCCTGTGAACGTTTGCCTTTTGCTTTACTTTTTCTCATCATTAATCAATCTGTGTAATTACTACTTTCAACAATGTAAAGGGGATGGAATGCTTCAAATTTGGGCAGGATATGCACAATAAGATCAGGACCATGTTATTTGATTGATTTTTCAAGTTTCCTCATAAAGTGTTCTGGTTGTGTTATTTACGATTGATCTCGATGGTGGACGACATCTGCAACTTCTCTTTCTGTTTTGTTTTTATATTTCTTGTACCTTGTTGTGGGACATCTCATTCTAGTGGCAACATTGATATATATATTAGAGGATTTTGGACCCTCTGCTATCAAATAACTTGCACGCTTTGCAGTTGCCTAGTCCTTTCATGTGTGAGTTTGTCAGTTACTGAGTTTCTGAATTTGGTTTCCGTTTCTTTTCGAAAATGGTAAACAAAGATATGGCCCAACAAAACAGTACTAAGAAAAACACAGAGGAGTGAAGAATATATTAACCGAAGAAAGATACAAAAGGTAAAGCCCTACAGAAAAATACAAAGGGCAAAGCTCAACAGAAGAGCCAAAACAAAAGAGCCTTAAAGAAACAAAGGAAATCAGACTTAACCGACAAAACAGGCCCAGAAACCAGACCTAACAGATCATCCAGCTAACAACGGCTAACAGAAAAATGACCTGCAATCAATACGACCTAAAAGCTTAGATATATTCAAACCCAAAAGAAAAAAACTTAGATACAGTGACAAATGGAGATTACCAAAACGTTACATGATCATATTCAGCGAGGTTTCTTCATGTTGGGCTCTCTTGGGTTTGGTATTTTCCACGACCAAACCAATCCTATCGGTCTGGTTTTTTGTAAAGTTTTTAGCCCAATCGCTAGATGCTTGCTTCTTATTCCAAAATATATCCCAAACCTTTCTCATCCATTGCATGTTCGTGTTGAAACAAGATTAGTTGGTTGATTGAACTTGTATAATATCCATAGGAAAGCCTTGTACTTGTGGCCATTCATTCATATTGGCTTCTGCAGCTAGTGGGATAACCTCACATTTGGCTGGTAAAGACTCAATCTCTCTCTAGACCTTTTGTCCTCCTACTCGTTTCGTGAGGACCTTTTGCAGCAGTAAGAATTGTGTTTAGCCCAAGCAGAAAGAATCTAACTATGTTGGTATCAAGCGCTCGTTTGGTTCGCGGATTAGAAGATTCGAAACTTGAGCAGCAATATTTCCTTCCCCCTCTCATGTACGTATGCAAGACGTGGAGAGCATGCATCACTGCTGATGCATTTCTTACTTTTGAAGAAGAAGTAAAGCTTCAATGCTAATAAACAATGACTGCTAAGTTCTAACAGAGAAATGATTGTTAGGGGATAAAAGTAGTTACCAAGAAAGAAACTATCACCGCTGGCATTAGTAATAAGACAATGGAAAGCAACAAAATTTAAGAATTGGTAATTAACTTCTAAGAGAAGACAAAATTAAGTAGCTGGTAAAGTAAGCTATAAGATACTACAATATCTCACATTATCACATAGGCTATAGTAGCATGAATGATAATGATCATTGCTTAGATTTTTTTTATTTTATGCGATGATCACTTTTGTTTATTTATGTTTCTCACTAAAGTTGATGTTACTAGATGAATTTTTAAAAGATACGGTTTTTTTGCAAGTTTTGGCATAGTCTAAACTTCAAAAGAGGAGGAGGATTTCTCTCACACAAACTATCAAGGTGCCATAGGATTCGAACATCAGATCATTGGTCTGCAAGTCTTAGTTAATTTCAACTGTGATAGACTCCATTGACGACATTGTCTAAGTTTTAATTTACACTTTAACCTAGATCATTCAATGGTTCTTTTGTAATTCAATTTCCTAGAGTACTCAATCACAAGGTGCCAATCCCAAGGTAAAGTAGGTGCCAAGATTATCCCAATCAAGTAGATCTAATTTTAAAGTTTTGATAACTAATCAGATGTTCGAAAAGGTCATTTACAAAAGTTATTCCTTTGATCCCACTTCCATTGTGACAAAATTACTCACAAATTATTCTTGTCATCGATATTAGCATTGCAATCTTTCAGCAAAACCAAGTATTATATTTTGAACTTTTGTGAATTCTTTGGGTAATTTCTTATCATTTCTACATTATTATGTCATGTGTAATGACCCGGGGCCATTTTTCTTTTCAGAACTTGGGTTATCGTAAAAGTTCCCTGTAAAAATTCTTCTTATTGTCTTCTGGTAAGCTGTGCTGAACTGATCATCTTCGTACTCATTTCTTACAAAGAAAATTATAATAATAACTGGTTTCTTACCAAAGTTTGATGACTATTTATCTCAACCTTATTTCTTTTTTTTTTCCTACAAAAAAAAAAAAAAAAAAAAAAGGAAAAAATATGAATCATGGCTAGTTTTTACCCCCAAAAAAAAAAAAAAAAAATCAATCAATCATGCCTAGTTAGTCCAATCATTACTGTCGTGTTACGCACTTAAAACAAGAACAATAACAGTTTACCATATCCAAATGGTAGCAAAACTAAGAGGAAAAACCTCTAATTCTATAACTATATATTCATAAATATCAAAGCCAGGAAATTTTAAAAAAATTAAAATTAAAATTATATTTACTTCATATATCGTTTAAATAGGTTTTTTGTGTCAAAAGCAAGTTACTCGTGTTCGACGTTAACACGAGATTAGTTAATTACTCATGCTAGAAGATTGTCTCATTTTCGGATTTGTGCCATGTAGTAAACCTAAGATTGCTCAATTCATTCAAATGAGGAGAAGACAATGACTAAAACTCTACAACGAGTTAATGTAGTAGCAATATGCACTTATAAGTTTTGTTTTTGTTGGAAAAGATATTGTATTGAACAAATATGATAAGATGTGTAGTACGATGGATAATTAGAATAGTCAATGCACAACTCAAACGTGACGATCAAGAAGAAGAGCATAATCTTAATTAAAAGATTATTATTATGTTCGCTTTACATCTTAATATGTTTATTTATTCCATTTAGAAATATATACTTATAAAACATCATGATACATATAAGCCGATGACAATCTCCAAAAAAAAGGAATAATAATAATAATTTTAAAGCCCACTACATAAGATGCAAGGAGAAGGAGGGGACCATTCATAATTTCCAGAAGACCATAGCCAGTATAGAAAATATGTCTATAGATGGAGAAAGAAGAAAGCTTTGGCCTCTCTTTACCTTCCAATGTGACCATTCGAAAAGCACAGATCATGACCCATAGCATCTTTAAAATTAAAATAAATAAAAATATATTTCAATTTCCTAATTTAAAAAACAAAAAGAAATCCAATAAAAAAAAATGGAAATAAACTAGAAAAAGGAGGAGGAGGTGTGGGCCATCTTCTGACTTCCACTAACATATTCCCAGGACATAAACAAATCCAAAAGTGAGATCTCCAATCAAATGCCATCCCCACACAAACTCACTCACTCACTCCTATTCTAAAATCCAATTATTCCTTCCAAATTTTCTCCATCTTTCTTTTTGTGTTAAACTAATAAAGATAGTGCCAGCAACAAGGAATAAAAGCTCCTTTATCTTTCTATTAAAATCAGCTGTTATAATTAACAAGAAATTAATTTTCCTCTAAAACTAATCAGCTCTAATCAGCATCTGTTCTTATTCTTAATCCACCTCTAATCATATAATTCTTCAATTATTACAACAATTAATATGCTCCCAATTGGTCCCAATACGGCCAAATCTGCATCATTTTGCCTGTAGCTGACCCAACAATGTCATGTTCTTTAGAGGGTCCTCACTGCCTTTTCTATGCCCCCTCACCAGTTTTATCACTTCTTTTCCATCCCGGACCAGATCACATATGTGGGCATATCTCTGTTTCCTCTGCTTTTTTTCATTCATCTTATCGTTCCCAACTTGGCTAGGGTTTTGACAAGACACATACACATATATTTCCACCACTTCCACTTTGCTCTATCTGAAAGTTCCTCCGAATGTAGGCGTCCAAAAATCAACTGTTGTCCCATGTGTGACCGGGAATGTGCTCGAAACCGGTACCAAACACAGTCCTCGGCTTCTAAGATCTTGCTTCGGACCTTGATCTGGGTCCTTAGATTTATCAGAATTCTGCATAAACAAAATAAAAAAATCAGCAAATGCAGGCATTGGAATCAGCGTACGGGTATTATTGTTTTGAATACCAGAGGAAGGAGAATATGTTACACACCTGCTGGTGTTGTATGGCAGCTCCACTTTTCATGTATGGGGTGCTTAAAACCTGATATTATAAGGGAAGACATAAATTAGCATATATTTGTTTGTGCCATAGGAAATGGTGGCTTGCATTGTTTATGGCACTTACATTAACTTGTTCATGGAGAAACTTGATATATTCAATGGCTTCAGAGAGCACTGAGGCTGTATCAGTCTGACACAACAAAACATGATTTAAAATCATCGTATAGCACAGGCAATTTTGTTTCCTTTTGAAAAAAAAAGAAAAAAAAAGGAAAAAAATGAAAGAAAGAGGAAAGTGCTCTTTTTGAATTGAGAAAGAGAATGGTATCTCACTCTACTAGCTATACGTATAGCTAGCTCTTTGTGAAAGTAAAGGAGATAGATAGCGTTTAGGAGCTAAATTTACCTTTCCGAAAGGTGAAACCAATTGTTGGAGGGCAGTGATTCTGTCCCCCATCTTCTCTTTCCTCACCTACAACCAAAGCTACAAGTTCTCATCTATGTCTATGATAAAAGAAAAAGCTTAAAACACAACTCATTCTCTTGTCACCAAAAATAAATAAATGGAAAGAGAAAGGCTTATTGGTCTTATTGTACCTTAAAAGCTGGCAAGGGTGATGAGGTTTCATTCCGAGGCCTTTTGGATGCTGTTTCACTCCCACTTTTCTTCCCCACTGCACCTGATTCCTGAACTTCAGATATATTCTGTTCAACCCAATATTTAGATATTGTTAAATAAACTTCAATCGTGGTAATCAAAACCCTAATCATGATCATGAAGAAGAAACTCGGTAATCCTAGAATTGTAAGCTACGATATACAATGTTGGCTCATTCCTTAACAGCTTAAACTTTAAGGATCCAGTGGTTTTCTCTAACAATATAATTACCTTAGGTTTTTCTTCGAATCGTGCCGTGGGAAACTGCTGCTGCAACGATGGGAAAAAGCTCGGGCGGACATCTTTCATGGCGGCCTCATGAGGTGCATTCCAAAAGGTAGCATTATTAGAAAATTGTAAATGGCTTTGAGGAGGTTGTTTGGGAGGTGATGTTCTTAGAAATTGAGGCACTTTAGACCAAGAAGGCAGTAGCTGATCACTAGAGTTAACCCCATAATTTGCTTGATAAGGAAAATTCATAGGGGCTGAGTTAGGTTGCTGATTATCATGATGAGGCCCCAATAGTCCTTGCAATATGGTTGAGGGGCTTCCATACAAAGCTGCTCCTGAATCCATCTGAAAGCTAGAGGGCAAGCCTTGGCACGTCACCGTGCTGTCGCCGGAGCTGTACTGAGGACTAAACTGCGTTTGATCTAAAGAGAAACCCCGGTTCATTTGCTTAAACTCGTTGTTAGAAGAGTCTCCACAACCACCAGCAAACAACTTGTCCCTCCATTGGAGCTGTTGGTCATTTTCTTGATGAAAGTTTGTGTTAGAATTCAAGTTTTCTTGTAGTATTGAACGGAAACTGGTCTCCGCCTTCTCCCCACGACTGTTTATACACATCAAATCATACAATTTCACATTTAAATTTCATGAAAACATATATAGAAAGATTTATAATCGAAAAAAAAAGTGAAGGATTAATTCCCATATAGGGTTTTAACTTTTATATATTCATGACCATGATCAAGTTGTATATATATAATTGTTCATATCCGAAAAAATAAAATAGAAATAATCTTGGACTTACAATAAGGCATGGTTCCAATCTGTCGCCTGGGAGGAAAGCCCTAAACCCATCATATGCAAGCTGGGGTCTCCGCCGCTTCCCGTGGCGGAGTCAGGGCCTTCTTCCAGCTTGTGAACACTGTGGAAGACCATAGAAGAAGTACCCGAAACAGACCCGGAATCCATAGAAGACCTTGCCTTGAGGTCAACCATGTCTGGTTGCCATCCAAAGCTTCCCAAGCTATTGAGGGTTGAAGCTGGCGGTGATGTCCCGGTCTCGAACCGGGTTCTTGCTGATGAATCCCACCAGTTCCCAGTGGTCTGAAATTCATCTGCCATGGCTCTTAAGCTTGGTGCAGAAAACCAAATTAATTAAACAGTTGGTAGACTGCTAGACTGTTCTTTTGGGCTCGTTGTCTTCAACCTCTTGGACTCTACCGCTCTCTGTGGAATCTACAAAGCTGTGCTGCTGTGGTCTCATAAAATGATGATGAAAAGCGGCTCGCTGCATCTCAGTATTTATATATATTTATATTAGGTGAAGTTCAACCGTTTGGGTGAAGGAATGAAAGAAGTAACCGGAATGTGGTTGACATTTCAGGGGGTGATTAGACAAATGAAAGGACAATATCAATTTCAATTTCTTTTTCATTATTTTCTTTTGTCTTTTATTGCTTTATGTATTTCAATTTTTCAATTTTTTTTCTTTTTTGTACTAAAATGTTTTCATATATCCAACGAAATTATTATTGTTATTACCTCCAATGATAATTACGAGATAGTGTGCAACAAAACAGTATCGTAAGAAGGAACTTGTTGCTCAAATGATTAAGAGCGATTACTCTTGCATGCAACTGAAATCTCGTGTTCGAATCCATTTCTCCCTCAATATCACCTCATATTGACCCGTACTTTGACACGAAGAGATAAATAAATAAGCATGAATTGTTCTCGCAAGGCCTTGTTATCCACAATAGTGGTACCACAAAAAGAGGTACCAGCATCAGTATAGTAGCACAAACCGAAGTACCACTACATATATGTACCGTATTAAGTTAGAATTAATAGTGGTGGGTAATGATTTTTACCCACATATCAATCATATAAATAAAAAAAATGAAGCTTTTTTCTTATGTACTAGGCCGTACATTCATAGGTACTACATATTGATCGACCACCTCGTCCTGATGCACCATTGGCTAATGAGCAAATAGTCCCATTCCAGCCTTCTAGGATTTGATGGTCCATAATTATTTAAGCAAAACCCTTCTGAGCTATAAAGCTTCACCTAGAGAGTGCTTGCTTTTGCTGAAATAAAGAAAGGCCTTCTGGGTTTGGACGGATCCATACCACTTTTAACCTACAATCATCCTAGTCACCTCTTTAAACTATGTAAACAAAAAGTAAGGCTTTACTTCAATTTACTTCGGGCCCGTTTGATTGTACCTTTGTTCCCCATTTTAATTAAAGAGAAGAACGGTGAGAACTAAAACCCAATAATCAAGAATAATAATAACTTTTTTTTTACACAAAATGGTAGGAGAATTACAAGATACTTTTTCTTTTCTTCTTACTTTTTAGTTTTGTGTTGTCCATATTTTTCCACTTATCTTCCTCGTTTCTTTCTCGTTTTTAACTAGAAATAGAAAAATGTAAACATTATCAAATAAGTCCTAATCACAGAGAGAAAAAGAAGAGGAGTGAGAGTGGCCCCTATTTTTTGATAAGGAAATAAAGAGTTCACAAAGCAAAAGCGCTGAGGGCAACTCACAAACAAGTAGTCCCAAAAAACTGCTCTAGAAGCAGCCGGAGGGAGATGATCCAGATCCATTCATATGTGTCTTGAAGGTGTGAGGTGACCAATAGCTGCCAGAGTCCGCCACAAAATTCGCCTCCCGGAGGATATGAGCAAAGGTGGTATTTGTTTTATAAAAAAGGAATTTTCAATTCAACCCAAAAAACACGTCTGACTTTGTACTTAATTTTGTATTTTCTACTGACGAAGGATTGGCATCCGAATTTGTTAGCAGTAGGGGGTCAAACTGTCGCATCAGCTGAAGATCATGGCTTGAGAAGTCCACGGTTTAGCTAGTGACTGCTAATTAAGTAAGTTATTTTGTGGAAAACTGACTCATTTAATATGACGAATTCCATTTCTTCTCAGGGAATTACTTTTGTGGAATTATTTACCATTATTTTATGACTTCCGTTGGAACTGGAATAGAATGTTTGCGTGTGTTTTAAGTTGATTATTTTAACTATAGTCAAGCGTAAGATCATGCAAGTTGACTTCCATATAAATCTTGGCCAATGAAATTTGGAAATTGATTTGTGTAGTAAAATTTCTACGCTCAATATGTTTTTTTTCTTCATAATGTCAAATTTTTGGGAAATTTAATTATGAATTTTACATTTAAAAAATATAATATTTTAACTAAATACAACTTGTGCAGTACATGTGGTATATATAGTTTTATTCATAATATCAAGCGATATTGGGAGTCAAGGAATTCAAACCTACGACCTCGGGTGCACGAGAAACTGCTTTTAACCATCATTGTTTTTTCCTTCCTTCCTTTTTTGTTGGGATTTAATTTAATAATTATATGGAATTCAAAACATTCATATTTTGTGAAATTTATTTTTTGGAAATTGAAATTTAAAAATATTGATTAATTATTGTAATTTGGGAGGAAGTCTAATATTGAGAGTGCTAGTGAAATTAATTATGTACATAATTACATACTAATAATCCAATATATATTAATTAAGTCTTCAATAAAAAAAATTTAATTTTTTAATTAAACAAAATTAAATCGATTTGCTTTGTTCGCCAATGGTGAAGAGAAAGATTAAAACCTCACAAATCTTCCAATATTGGTAATAAACTATCAATTTACTTTGTAATTACTTGTAGCAGTATTTAATTTATAATTCTATTTTCCAAGTGAGTGAATTAGATTTCTCTATATATAAAAAAGAAAAAAGTAAAAAGATAGTAAATTAGATAATTATTTCTAAAATTGACGTGTAATGCACATATGATGAAAACATGTTACATGTTGACTAACAACAAAGGCGGGCCGCGGGGATGAAGAGGCGGCAGGGGGTGGGGATTAGATTAGATTTTTAATATTATTATGACTTACGGAAACCAGAGTCAACGAGTGGGACCCAGAAGGCGTGCAAGCGTGCGAAGACACATGGGACCCACTTTTTCAAAATTCCAGCCACCCTAAGAGTCAGAGCCCTGAAAATGACCGGATTGTATATTCTTCTCCCATCCTAATCATTTGGCCTACCCAAACACACACATGACACATAATATGCACCCACCATCTCCCTCCATCTCGTCTTCATCACCAAAAAATATCCCCCCTAATCTTAATCATCATCACATTAAACTCACCCCTCATTTTGTTTTTTTGTTTTCTTGTCTCTGTGTGTTTGCGTGTGTGTGATAGAGACAAAATTAAACTGTACATATCAACATGGTGATCAAACAAGTGGTGCAATTTCAGTGGTTTTGGAATGGCCCCGACTGTACCCAGATAAGAAATATAGAGGGACTTACACTACTTGCTCTCTTGAAATGAAAGTGGTGTCATGGCTTTAGGGTTAACAAACGGGACATGATGAAATCATACATTTAAACAATGAGGGGGCTTGTGAAGACCAAATTTGTGAAAGTTTTGGTCGTATTTACAGTTTAATTGATGAGCTTCAGTAAATCAATCACACATGACCGTTCTTTATATATTCTTAATTTAGCTAGCGCGATTACTAAAACGGAGAATTTACATAATTCATCCAAGTGGGACTAAAAAGTATTCTATCATAATCTCCAAAATATCCCTCTCCTCCTCTCGACCTAATTCTCGTTAGAAAGTCCTCAATGCGGCCTTTAGACGCTCGAATTTATACTATCAATCATTTAAAGAAGTATAAAAAGGGAAGGATTAATAACCTTTTGGACTCTTACTTTTAACTTAGTCAAATTTCAATAGATTATTCACGACTTTTCCTAATTGATCAATTAATATTTAATGTGTTTTCACATTGTAGTCAACCCTTTGTGAATTTCTTCCATTACACATTTGTCAATTTCGTGCTCAACACGAGCCCCTAATGTTCATTGCTGTGCTGACGGACAAAAGTCTCTCTCTCTCTCTCTCTCTCTCTCTCTCTCTCTCTCTCTCTCATGTTTTCTAAAGTAGATTTCTACTTAAATACGCTAACTACTCCAGTAAAATTATGTTCAAATTTGTAGGATGATGATATATCACAAAAAAAAAAGGTGTGATCACTTTGCGACCCATGCAACTCCACGAAAATTCGAGTTTGGGTTTGAATGCTTGAATCTTTAAAAAGAGACATACCAAAAGTATTCGCGATGATAATGAATATGTCTACTTAATGCGAGGGTTTTTAGGCTACAATTAATGTATGTATAATGAAAAATGCATCAGATAACAAATTAATCAATCATGAGATTGAGATCTCATTAAAGCAATTATGTATTCCAGAGTTTAAACAATAATACTAGAGGCACTAAATATTATTCTTTGTTTTTTACACTATTACCTAAATTTTAATTACTAATTGACAGCACGTGATATGAACAAATAGAATAGTGACGCACTATATCCCATTAACTTTTTTGTATCTAAGTAATTTAATAATTAAAATTAAATTCAATAGGGCCAACTTTTTTTTTTATTTTTTTTTTTTTTTTTTTTTTATGTATGTTTATAGAAATTAAATAGTGTAGGGTTTATTTATAGTTTTAGTGCTAAGAATGAGTATTTGACTAAATATCTCTTTAATAAATCAAAGTACAATTACCCAACAGAAGTTTAAATAACTTTTTACATCAAACAAGGTTCACAAGCAAAACTCAAAGAGTTCCAAGTAATTATACAAAAACAAACCAACTCTTGTCAACTCCTCATCTATTCGTTGAGTAATTATTCACAGGTTTTTGAATGTAAATATGCGTGATTCCCTCCTTGTCTTCGTTATGCTCTTGTTTTTGTAAAATTTTAGTATGAAGATTTCAATTGATTTTTGGAGAAACTTTTCTTTAAACAATAATTTTTGTCTAACTCAAGACTTTCTCTAAGAAATGTCTTCAGATCATATGGTCATTATAATTGCAAAACTTCCTTCACTTTAAAGCATGATAATTACAAATAATCGTCATTTGATATTAACCTTTACTTCAGTAGAACCGATTTGAAAGTCACATATGCGATTTGGAGACAACAAGTGAAAGAACTCCTCCTCTCCTCTCATTAGAGTTTAAGAAGTAGCTAGGACAATTTCATTTCTTATAGGAA